ACACACACACACACACACACACACACACACACACACACACACACACACACACACACACACACACACACACACACACACACACACACACAGCTGCATGCCTGCTCACATTCCTTCTGAATGCTTCGTAGCCAATCCACAACAAGCATGCAAATGAAATGGGTGTGTCTTATAAAGCTGGAGTCCAGGGTCTGAACGGAGAGTAGAATAGAATAGAATAGAAAAGAATCATCTCTGGTTTCAGCTTCTTAAATGTGACAAGTTCCTCTTTTTCTTCCACATGTATGACAGTAACTGAATATCTGTGGATTTGTGATGGTTGATCAGACAAAACCAGAGATTAAAAAGACGCCACATCGGACTCTCTAAAACTGCTCAGCACCAGAATCTAGTAAATAAACATAACTACTATGTGCAAACGGAGTTAAACTGTACAAGACTTTAGGCCTCTTGGATTATTTTCTGACATTTTACAGCCGATGTGTTCAAAGACTGGCCCTCAGGTGTGTTTTTACAATCAGCATCTCTGGCAGACGGTTAATAAAATGTTAAAAGGGTGCACAGCGGTTGCCATGGTTACAATAGCTTGTGGACCTGCAGGAATTAATAGTGAAACATGACAGAAAAGAAGATCAGTCCTAACAGGTCTCTGAGTCTCAAGGTAACACACACGTGTTCACTTCTTTTCCACTTTTAAAAATTTTAAATAGGGAATTTGTCTTATCTAAAGTTACAGTTGAGGAAAATATCAAATCATGATCATTTATTAACAATCGTTTACTTCTTTAAATCATTTCTAGTGTGATGAAGGAGAGCTACATGCAGATCTGTTCTGACCCGATGAGGATAAATGATGCGATCTGTGATTCATGCTTTACGCTGTGGTCCAAAGGTCCAGTGCACATGACGCACAAATGCAGCTGGATCGTGAAAACAGACAAGAAGCCGTCAGTCATCGCTGATCGGCCTCGAAGCATCTGTTCAGCTGAAACTGCAGCCAAAGCATGTTCACGTTTAATAGCATTTGAACTCCTACTTTAATTGAAAACAATTCTGTGATTTCCTGCTTTAAATAAACGGCACGGATCCTGAACGATCAGCTTTTCTCCGTCAATCTCGTGACTCTTTTATCTGCTTATCAAGGAAGTGTCCATTTGAAAGGTTTGAAAGGTGAAATATTAAAATACTTTATCCTCGTTATCAACAGGACACAAACTGAACTACGATAAATAACAGGCATGGCAGAAATTGTCTGTTTCCCTGTGTCGTCCATATTTCATCCCTCTTCAGGACAGACGTGATGACGGACACACTGGAAACAGCCATCAATCACTTTCGCCCTTGCAACACTGGTTCTCTATTTTCACTCTTCTCCCAACATTGAAGCTGCTGTAATCAATATTTCTATATTATCACCGGATGGGCCGTGCATGTACTGTGACAGATGCTGTTCATGGTGACGAGGTGGTGTGACTCATAACGACTGGAGCAACAGATGCTGAGGTGAGAAGCTTGAGCTACAAATTAGAAGGAATATTAGGTTTACAATAACCAAGTGGCAGGACATGACTCCAGATGAGTGCTGTTGTGTTAATTTGGAAACTGTTTGCCAATAACTTCATCTTATCCACATTTGTAAAGCGATGAAATGTCAGTATTTGTGTTTGCAGCTTTATAACACACAAATGGCCGGTAAAGAGTCAAGAGTCCCCAAGAGTTTCTGTTAATACAGCAGTTGATTGCTTTGCTGCAAGTGTCCACTGTTGAGGCCGAGCCCCTGAGAGCTGCTCACATCTACACCCCACCCTTCTGATGGAGACAGAAACAGAGGGAAACACAGGTAACCTGTCTGTGATCTCCTCCCCGTCACATCTGAGCCACACAGCTACAGATTATAGACTGAAGTATGTATAAGCGTTGGCTCATCGGCCGCCCTTTCCCATGTCCTCAGCGGCAGGGCCCAGCCCAGCGGCTTCACAGAGGAGTGGACAACTTTATTTAGAACGGAGACAGAGGGGTATAAACCACAAGCAGACTGCTCGGCTGACTCACCGTCTAAAATAAAGAGAAACTGTTTAAAAAGAGGAAAGAGAGGATGACAGAGTGGGTGGAAAAGAGAGAGAGATGATAGAAGGAAAAGACAACGGAGTTTCTACTTTGATATATATCATGAAACTGTGCAACAGGCTGTCACTGCTGCTTCCTTGAATTAGAGGAGTGCAAAGCTCGGTCAAGCACAGAGTAGATTTTGGTATCACCAGCTCACTCAGGAGTTAGATTCCCTCTTCATCTTTACTTATGTCCCTAATGCAGCACTTGAGCTTCTTCAAACCAACACACTGATGATTGTGTTGATTAAAAAACATGATAACCGGTCGACCACATCCTGTTGTTCATCGCGGCCGCAGCTTGTCCGCTGCTGAAATTAAAGCTGCAGTGTCTCAGGTGATGGGAAGCTGTTGCCCCCGGTAACCTGTTGATTTTGGATGAGCATACGGAGACGAGGGAGGTGGGAACAGGTGTTTTTTTTTTAAAGAGGAGGGGGCCAGCTCAGATTATTTAATTGCTGTCTAATTTCTCACAGTCTGGACAGTGTGTGTGTGTGTGTGTGTGTGTGTGTGTGTGTTCGTGTGGGGTGGGGGTGTGTGTGTGTGTGTGTGTGTGTGTGTTTGTGTGTGGGGGGGTGTGTGTGTGTGTGGAGCAAGACTGAATTAGCGAATAACAGCATCGATGGATTTATGTGTCACTGGACAATGGTATAAATTTTGCACATATGCAACACAAAGAGACTGAGGTAGACTTTTCAATGACTCTAAACATTTTCTAAATTAATCATTTATAAAATACACATTCTCAATAAGGTTCTGTGTGCTTTTTGCTTTTAAAATGACTTAAATTATTATTGTTTGTCATCTATTTACTCAATTTACTGATCAGTTATTAAGATGTTCATATTTTATAGGTTGATTAAGACGACTTGCCTTGTTTCTAGTTCAAGTTTGATTCAGAAAAACACTTCATTGGAAAGTAATGAACAGTGTATTTAAACACAGGCTCATGCAGCTATAAGGACTTTCCACTGACTTCCATTGATTGTGCAAAACGTCCCCAACCAGGACCAACTCATGCCTGACACTAACTTAACAGCAACTCACATCTTAACCTTAACTTAACCACACCTCACATCTTAACCTTAACTTAACCACAACTCACATCTTAACCTTAACTTAACCACANCTCACATCTTAACCTTAACTTAACCACACCTCACATCTTAACCTTAACTTAACCACAACTCACATCTTAACATATCAGGTAGCACACCTGCCAGCTGCACACACACACACACACTTATGCACGAGCCCCGGATGTCAGTCAGGATCTAATAGCTATCACCGCCCTCCTGAGGTCCGGCTCCGGGCGGAACACACAGCAGGGGTCTGTTTGACTTAAAGACTTTCTCCCAGGTGACAGTGACACACCGAGGGGCGGGTGACAGTTCGGCTTGATGCGGACTCACCACATTCGTGAGGAAGTCTCCGTCGCTCAGCTCCTCCAGGTCCAACAGGTTGGCTCCTCCGGTGGGGTAGAGTCTCTCCGCGGCCAGACTGTCCAGGATAGAATCCATCATGGCTCCGTGTGTGTGAGGAGGACCGATCAGATTCAACTCATGAAAACCAAGCGGCTCCTTCTTCTCCCCGCGTGTGTGAGAGTGTGTTGGTGTGCGTCCGCTCCTCACGTCACCGGAGTGTGAAGCCGCCGGTGAGAGGATCCGTGTCCCGGTGCCGCTTCTCTTCCTCCGGTGACAAACTCCAGCAACGTGGAGGATCCATCCAGCTGTGCGCGTGCTCCTCTCGTGCGCTGTTCCCCCCCCAAACCCCACGCGTCTATGAATATTCAAAAGAGGAAACCACGCCCCCTACACACCCCCGGCGTCAAATAACGGGCACGCGCGTTTGCAATTAAGACAAATTCAATTAGGAGTACTTTTTAAGTACAAGTACCCAGACCACACTACTACACTAGTACTTCATTACAAGTAAAGCTAGTGCCGATATAGTTTTCACCTCAATTAAAGT